ACCCTCGTTCGTCCTTGTCTGGAATACGCCTGAAGCGTATAATGGGACCCACATACTCAAAAGCATTGCCAAGATATTGAAGGAGTACAACAGCAAGCCCGCCAGGTTTGTAAAAAAAAAAAAGTGCTACGAACGGGAACCGGGTACAGTCATTAATCTCCTGTGCCCAGTTGTTCGAACGCCGGTTAGCGCTAACCCAGGGTTAAATTTTAACCCGAGTTTCTTTTTCTTTTTATCAAAAACACTCTCTCCGGATAATTTTCTCTATTCTTTTAAGAGTATCCAATCATCAAATTGTAGGCAAATCGAAAAACCCGGCCCTGAACGATTTGAACTGGCATTCACCAGAGCTGAGACACAAAATTGCACGACTTACCACCATGTACAAAATAGCGAACAATATAATTAGGGTCAATATTCCGGAGTACATTGCTGCACGTTCAACCCGTGTTACACGCTCTTGCCATAGCAGCAAGTTAAGAAACATTTTAGTAACAGCAATATGTACCTATAGGTACAATTTTTTTACTAGAACTCTAAAAGAATGGGACACTTACTTTTTAATAGATCAGCCCTTCGTGGAAGCATTTAAATCTGCTGTTACTAATTACTGAATCTCTCTCATTGACTTAAGCTTTATACATCAGTGATTTTATACATAATTTTATTTTCCGTACTTTCCTCACTCTAAAATGTCATTTTTGGCTGTAAGAGTTTCAGGATATCAATTGAGTTGTCCTATTTCACCTGCCCGAAACCGTTAAGTTGTATCAAATACTTGTTATCATTTTATAAAAAGCCCAATAAAAGCATCGCCAGTTTAAAATACTTTTATTGTTTTTTATTGACATTTTGTTGCTGGTTAAAATTTTGACTTCCCCTTTTTTGATCTCAAAATTGCTTAGTTTATAGACGTATAGCCGAAGATTAAATTTGCAACGCCTGTAAATTAAAAACCTGTTTGCTCCAGGAGTTTTGAACACGTGTCGTTTCAGTTTGCTCCCTTTCGAGACAGTTATTAAAACAATAGAACCTTCAACGGTTTTGCGAAAATCTGTCGAAATGCAGAAAAAGAACGCCTTAAAATAAGTAAAGATTCCCTTGGGAGCGTCCTTTTTAACTGAACTCAGGATGTGCTTAATGAACTTTCGTGTCTTTAATAAACCAAGGCAAGAAAACAACCAGCTCCCTTTCAAATGAGTTGTTAATACGCTAAGAATCACCTGACCGGAAGAGGAAAGTTGTTTAGGCTTATCAGTAACAACATGAATTCAATACTGATTCTACAAAGTGCGATTAACAACGTCGCGTCGACAGTCCGTGGCGTCATACATAATCAGCTCAGCATGAAAGATGAGCTCTATAATTTATAAGCCTTATAGTAGCTACTTAACTGAATGCTAAGGAGATAATGGAGTTCTAAAGTGATGACGTCACAAAAATTTAATTTCTGAAATTATGGTACATGTCAGGATATTCTGAAAGAACAATGTCCAAGAGGCCTACTTTCCAAAAATGAGCATTTCGGGGTAAATTATCTCTGAGATCGTAGCCCAGTTATGCTTAGAAAACTCTATACAAACCAAAAGTTTTTTTGGGTCGACCCCCCAAAACATTAGAAGGGTTTCTATGGAGTATTCTGAATATAACCGGCTAACATCTCAGAGATAATTTGCCCCGAAATGCATATTTTTGGAAAGTAGGCCTCTTGCACATTGTTCTTTCTGAATATCCTGACAAATCCCATGATTTCAGAAATTTCATTTTTATGACGTCACACTAGCCCTCTAGTACTCTATTTCGGCATAGAGTCAGACTATTGCAGTCAAGCGCTTGAGGTACTTATCTTGTTTTTCAATCTGACCGTCCAAACACAGAAAGCTAAGAGAGCGAAGACATTTTACAGTTTACTATGTTTGTTACCAAGGCTGACTAACAGAATAACAGACAAATGAACTGTCGGCTATTTGAGTGTCCATGTATTTAGCACGAAAGTATTAATTGAGGACACCATTTTTGCGTCTCACACTACAGATGGGACCCACATTTTTTGTGGTTATCTAAGCCACGCAGAGGTGAAGCCATTTGCAGCAGGGGAAGGGCAGTTTCTTCAAGACATTTCTCAGTCATATCAAGACCGGGCTATTGGTCCGGTCCCGGTAATCAAACCCGCGACTTCCCGCTCAAGCTGTCAAAGCGCCTTTCCGACTGAGTAGCCTGCTAGCAAGCTCTCCGGGCCGCTCTAGCGGTAGAGCGCCACGGAAAGCTTGCTAGAGGGTTTCAATGGTGTGGTAGCTTTGACGGTTGGTGGTGAAATTTTTCCAATTTTGACGGTTGACGGTTAAAGTTTAGAGCTTTTGACGGTTGACAGTTATTAAATGCAAATTTAGTTTAAATTTAAAGTAAATATTTTAACTTCTGTCTGAATTAATATTACTGTTGTGTTTTGGAGGTTGTCTTGGCGTTTTACTCTTACAATTTGGAAATGTTTTCAGATGTAAGCAGGTTGTAAGGTCTTGTTATGTCTAGAAACGTGTTTCGAGAACATGGGGACTGGTTTTTCCTGTTTAGAGATTCCGGCTTTAGGAGCTAAATCTCGTGCATTTTTAACGGTTAAAAAAACCTTTTTCGACGACTGACGGTTAACCTCAATGAGACCCTCTTGCTAGCAGGCTACCGACTGAGCAATCCTGCCGCGGCTACCTTCACTCTTGTTGATTGGTGGACGTCTCGTAACTTAGTAGACGGTTGTAGAATATCACTTGATTTGTTATATATCACCATTTTTAAGCCATTACCCGTACCAGTACTTGTTATCATTTTTAAAAAAAAAGCCCAAAAAAAGCATCCCCAGTTTTAATGCTTTTATAGACATCTTGTCGCTGGTTAAAATTTTGACTTGTCCTTTTTTAATCTCAAAATTGCTTAGTATACTTTAGCTGAAGATGACAAACCTTTAAATGAAAAACAATGCTTTAGTTCAGTTTGCTCCCTTGCAAAAGTTATTAATACAAAAGAACCTTCCATGGTTTTCTTCAACCTTTTACTGGGACCAGTTGTGCAACTGAAATCTGTCGAAATGCATAAATAGAAGGTCTTAAAATAAGTAAATATGCCCTTTTTTATGAGTTTCCTCTTTAACTGTAGTTAGGATGTGTTTATTGAACTACCGTGTCTTTATTTAACTGCACAAGGAAGAAAAACTGTTAAAAAATAAGGGACTGTGCAATAATTATCAGGAGAGGGGGCTGAAAAACTAGAGTTATCTAGCAAAAACTTAGACAGTAACCCCCCTCCAAAACAAAAAAAATTAGTTCTAACTCCCCTCTGTTATGTTAAAAATAACGTCGCACCCCCCCTCCCACCAACCAAATTTAGACAAAGCATTTGCTAAGTACCGGGGTGCTTACCACATTGGCTCAAAATCTAAAACTTCTGAAGCCAGAAAGAGAAAGGAGCAGAGAAAAAAATCAAAGAACAGGAGATTGAACGCTTCAAATAACAGACGAAAAAGAGCTTTCATTATATTTAGATCCTTGGGAGGAGAGCCTGTTGAACTTTGTTATGAGCCAGATATATATGGAATCGAGCAAATCGATTCAGTCGATGAAGAAACATTACTTTTATTCACATCAAAAACCGACAACGGCTTGTCTACGAGATCTGTTTGATTCCCATTGTTTTATGGTGGAAGCTGAAAAACAAGTTCATGATTTTTGCTTTACATAGGATCAGCTCAATTAATTAGAAGACGGGTTAAAATTGATCAGTTGTGAATAAATTGCTTTTCATTTTGATGGAATATTTTCAATAATCGTTTAACAGCTGTTCGTATTGATATTTGTTACAGTCTATCATGATGCCTGTATTGAGAATCTTTTATTGCGTTTAATTTTATTTACATTTCGAATAAAACTTAAGGCCCCCCTCTGTCAAATGAGTGATTTTACTTTGATCTCCCCCTATCTTGGCAGGAATTTTATGTAATGCCCCCCCCTCCTGATAATTATTGCACAGTCCCTAGCTTACAACGAATATATTAGCATGCGATTTCAGTTTTTTCGCCTTTCGGTGTGTTCTTTATATTAACTGAACTCAGGAGGTTTTTATATATTGAAGTACACAAGAAAAACCAGCTCTCCTTCAAGTGAGTCATTAATACGCTAAGAATCACCTGACTGAAACTGGGAAGTTCTTTAGGCTTATCAGTAACAAGCGTGACATGAATTCAATTATACTGATTCTACAAAGTTCGATTTGACAACTTCGCGTCATTCACAATCAGCTCAGCATGTAAGATAATATAAGCTCTAATTAAATTTGTTGGTTTTTATTGACATCTGCCGTGCCAAGACTTCGCCGGGGGCATTGAATTTTTAATTATAAAAATTCAGGTAGCATTTGCAATATTGAGCAGTTGATATTATAGGAAGCTACCAAACTGAATGCTGTGTTTGCTGTAAAGAGGTCAGCAAACATTAACTCAACAATAGGGAATGAATCGATCGAGTCTTCAAGCTGCTTTAGTACAAATTAACGGCGTACAAAATCGGACAAACCATTGCTTTGAGTCTGATCATTGCTGTTTCTCTCACGGGAAATTCTTTCATTGTGTTGATCGTTTATAAAACGCCAGCCTTAAGAAAACCGATAAATTATTTCATCGCAAATATGGCCATGTCCGATCTGGCTGTATTCAATATTCTGGCCACCTACTCGCCTATCATTGATACACAGCACAAACTTGTGGCTCATCGGTGGCCAGTTTGGCCAGGCCTTGTGTAAGCTTGTTCATTTTGCTGACGTTTCCAGTATCGTTTCGATTCAGAATCTGGTTTTAATAACAGTGGATCGATTTGTAGCCGTGGTATTTCCACTCCGCTCTCCACTCATCAGATCCAAGCTGTGTCCGTTCTTCATTCTCGGTACGTGGATAGTCGCAGCGGCTTACCTTTCGCCCTATTTTTACACATACCAACTCGTTGAAAAGGTGGTGCGCCATGAGACGGAAGAAAGTATTCGGAGAGTCCTCGTCCCTTGCCGACTACCACTTGGCAGGTTCTATTCTGTTTATATATATCCCTGTGATGTTGTTGGTCCTTCTTTACTCCATCATCATCATCAAGCTCAAGGCACAGTTACACCCAGGTGAACAGTCCGCGAACACTCAGCAACAGAGGATCAGACGAAACAGAAACGTGCTTCAATTGTCCATTGCTATCGTGTTAGTTTTTGTGTTTTGCTGGTTACCTAATACTACTAACTTTTTAATCATACGGTATCGAGCCAGTTCCATACATTTTTCCTGTGGTTTTTGGCTATACTATTATGTCACCTACTATATAGCGGTCGGGTACTGTGCTATCAACCCGATTATTTGCTTTGTTTTTAGCAGTAATTACCGACAAGGTCTTAAAAGACTCATGAACTATTCTTAACTGTTATGTTGGACAGGCGTAAGTCGCAAAAATTTGCTTGTGAAGAATGTTAAGAGTTGGAGGTTCGTGGAACCGCACTTTAGCACTGTTCTTAACTTTTGTACAGGCGACAGTTGCAAAAATTTGCTTGTGAATGAATAATATATGTTAAGAGTTCGAGGTTCGTGGAACACTTGCAAATGAAAACTAATGTATCCTGCTAGTGTACGATAAGGAGGTTAGTAAAATGTATTCATTATATGCATGTCTGTCCTGACTTCAGCAGTAACAAAACAATTAAACAATTTACATCCAAGACGGGAGGAGAACAATGCCTTTCAGTTTTTATTAAAACGGTGCTAACAGATTTGAAGTTACAGCTGATGGAGTTCTTTGAAATTCGTACGTAATATCTTCCGAGCATTTATAACTTTTCTTAAGTTAAAATTTCTGAGAGATTTTTCACTTATTTCCGATATTAAAAAGAGGAATATCTTGTCAAAAGGCAGGATGATGCCTAGTTTTGATGATCATCTACCATGTGTTACATTTTATATAATACGATGGTACTGCTTTTATTTGACTGTTGTGCGGTCGTCTGGGATAGCTGTGGCCAGGGTAGTAAATCCTACTTAGACTAGCCTGCAGTGTAGCCGTACCGCGTATTTTGGGCGGGCGACAGCTGCTTGTTTATGTTCGTACCGTTGAAGCCGCCATCTTTGATTTTATAACGGAGGAAGATTGGGGAGAAAATTGCGCTTCCACGAGCAAAAACATTCGCGCGCACTTTTTGCGCGACCGAAGGAACCGCTTGCACTGCAGACTATACTTAGACAAGCTTAATCGCCGTGCTGCATGTATAATCGAGAGCCGTCCGGCAGTTAAGGCTGAAGAACTATCTACTGTATTTGGCTCACCATCTGCAAGCACTCCGTAACTTTCTAAATCTGCATGTCCTTGTCTATAAGTGTATCAACGGAATAGCAAAATAACTTCTGACCGGTCAACGGTTTTTTTGTTCGTTAAGGATTGTTTTTCATTTATTTGCAAATTAGGAGGACCATCAATATAATATTTCATGTTTATTAGTGTTCTTTATAAAAAATGTTCATCCTAATCACCCGGGGGGGGAACTCCCATATGAAACAGACGGGGATGCTCGTCGTCTCGCTTAGGGGTGTAAATTTTGGATTTTGGTCTCGTTTAGGGTGTTCCGGGCAAAGCGCTAATATTTTAAGCCGCCAAGGTCTCGTTTAGGGTTCCGCGAAGAACTTGAGATTTATGACAATGCTTTTAAAAACTAATTTTAGATAAAAGCATTCGATGATTATGTCTTTTTATCATTAAAACTCATTGCATGTCGTATTTGTGTGTTTTCAAGCGGTCTCTTTTAGGGGTCAAAATTTGCTTAAGCCACGCCCAGATTGGTCTCCTTAAGGGGTCACAAAAAGCTTGAGCCACGCCCAGATGGTCTCCTTTAGGGCTTAAATTCAAAATTTCCGACGAGCATCCCCGTCTGTTTTATATGGGAGTCCCTCCCGGGCCTAATCACTGCCTAGTCAGCATTCAATCGTTTCAGTCATTCAACCCCGCATTTCCCCTGAGGCTGAATTCAAAGTCCTCTCCTGACTTTTCATTTTGCTGAGTTTTATTGGGTATAATTATTTCAAGTGATTAACAATCCGCAAAGTCAATTAGACATATGACTACTGAATACTAATGAGTTTTAGAATTGTCATTTTAATTTATGGTCATTAATGGAGAAGTTAAGCATCACGTTTGTGTCAAACGGCAAACACGAATTTGTGCCACGTAACCAAGTTTCCTCTTTACAGTATCGTTCGGGGTTTACTGTCCCCTGCTAGCAGAGGTCTCTCACGACGAGGCAAAAATGAGTCATTTTTGCCTCGTCGTGAGAGACCTCTGCTAGCAGGGAAGGTTTTCTGTTCATTATTTCTACACCTTAATAAGTAGTTGCACGCAGTTTTTTATCCATAAGAATTGTTTTGAGCTGTTTTTATCTGCTCATTTTCTATTCATATTTTGAGAAATCCTCAACTTGAATCTGACGTTTGCTGTTTGCCGTATACATGAGGCTTAAGCTCTCCATTAATCGGATTGGACTGTGACCATTTGAAAATGTCTTTTATATTCATTTTGTTGGCTGGATAAATTTTAACTACCTGTGTTTAAATATGAGTCAATTTGTTGAACAAATTGTCTCGTTAATGATCGTAATTTCCTCACACCACAACTGTTTAAAATGTTCTAAGCACGTATTGCTTTTCGAATGTCTTTCAATCTATTCAATCACCACACCTGCCTAAAATGAGCTCGAGGTATTTCCTCAAGCTGTGTATTTCTTCTTTTTATTGCAACCACTTTATTCTCTTTATAATCCTTTTTAGCATATACTAAAACAGTGGACAGTGTTTTTCGCGCGCTCTGATTGGCTACTCAATCAGTGAATATCCTGCACTATTCACTGATTCACCTCCAGTTCCTCCGAGCGAGCGAACGACGCCAAACTCGCGTAGGTTGCGAGCAAAATGCCTTCCCGTTTGCTGCGGTAACAAACTAAGAAATTTCACAACTAATCAAGCAAGCTATTTCCGAAATACATGAAGAAGGTGACGAAGTTCGGTTTGGAAGTTTTAACAGGTAAAGCTTTGTCTTTTTTACTTGAATTTATCGATAAAACCGGTGAAAAAGTTTTTTGTTTACAAATGCAAATTAAGCTTATAAGTCTTGGGTTATTTTATTTAGTTGACTTGTTCATAAGTAAGCTTAAAACTAAATTTAATAATCTTTTTTACAGAATTATTTTAAATACAAAAAGAATTCACACCTCCTTTTGAAGAAACTTTCCCGCAAGAGCTAAACAAACGCCTTTAAAAGTTTTATTTGTCGCTAAGAAAAAGCGACGACCTCGGCCGTTCGGTCATCGAGCGCCAAAGTTGTAATCGTTGGCAGTTGGCAACAGTAAATGAGTTAAAAATCATCATTTTTGTGCTCAATTATCTCACTGTTTTAGTATATACTAAAACAATTATTCACCTCAGTGACGGTGGCTAGTATTGGATATTTTCCTCGCCGCTTCGCGGCCTCGGTAAATATCCAATACTAGCCACCTCCACTTCGGTGAATAGTTGTTATCTATATAACTCATAAATAAAATGGCCATTAATCGGGTGTGTTTATCAGTTTAACTGAACTTACAGGATGTGTTTATTGAGCAGCAGATCAGTGTCTTTATTGAACTACGCAAGAAAAAAAAAAACAGCTCCCTTCCAACTTACGCAACAGGACGGGAGAGGGAGGAAAACGGCAAACCCTGTGTGACAAGCGTGACAATAATTTTGCTTGAAAACTTCAGCTTCCTTTTAACAGATCTTTTTGTAAAAGACCAGAAAACATTAATGTCAATCACGACAAAACACGCGATTAATAGCCCTGTCACGTTTGTCACAGACAAGCGTTTTGCCTTCCTCTTCTTTCTGCCGTCCTGGTGCAGTAAACTAACTTTGATACTCTAAGAATCAACTGACCGGAACAGGGAAGTTGTTTTGGCTTATCAGTAACAACACGAATTCAAAACCGATTCTACAAAGTTCGATTAACAACGACGCTTCATCATGACATAATCAGCTCAGCATGAAAGATAAGCTCTAAAATTTATTGGTATTTATTGACGTCTGCGGTGCCAAGACTTGGCAGGGGCGGGGCATGTTACAGACGTTTGTAAAGTGAGAGGGGGCAAGTTCAAGCCCCCAACTGCACGCAAACGAGTGTAAAATTTCGCGATTTTCTGGAGCAAATCTTCACTCGCTCTGAACCTATCACCTTTAAACTTTGATAAGTTTCCTAATTTTAAGCCGCTCTTTCCAGCAGGATCAATGGATCCGATTCGCTAAATTGTCTTTAGCAAAACTTAAAAAAATCGGGAAAGGGTCTATCACCTGATCGGAACAGGGAAGTTCTTTAGGCTTATCAGTATCAACGTCAGTATAATACTGATTCTACAAACTTCAATTAACGTCGCGTCATACGTCATCAGCTCAGCATCATGAAAGATAAGCTCTATAATTTATTGGTTTTTATTGACGTCTGCGGTGCCAAGACTTCGCAGGTGGCATGAAATTCTTAAAGTTCTTAATCAGGTAGTATTTGCAATATTGAGCAGTAGATATCTATAGTAGGTACTTAACTGAATGCGGAGCACAGTGCTGTAAAAGAGGTCAGCAAACATGAACTCAACAACAGGGAATGGATCGATTGAGTCCGCTTCAAGATGCGTTAGTGCAACAGCGTACAAAATCGAACTGACCATTGCTTTGAGTCTTATCATTGCTGTTTCACTGACGGGAAATTCTTTCATTGTATTGATCGTTTATAAAACGCCAACATTACGAAAACCGATAAATTATTTAATCGCAAGCATGTCCATGTCTGATCTGTTATATTCAATAATCTGGATCCCATATAAGCTGTCAAAGTTGCACACAAACTCTTGGCTGATCGGTGGTCAGTTTGGCCAGGCCTTGTGTAAGCTTATCCCCTTTTTTGCTGACTTTTCCACTATCGTTTCGATTCAGAATCTGGTCTTAATAACAGTGGACCGATTTGGAGCAGTGGTATTTCCACTACGTTCCCCATTCCTCAGATTCAAGCTGTGCCCGTTCTTCATTTCGGCCACGTGGATAGTCGCAGCCGCGGTCTGTTCGACAACTTTGTTCGTCAAGAAACTCGTTGAATACTCAGCAGGGGAAATGATCTGCGTGGTGAGATGGGAGGAAGCATTCGGAGAGTCCTCGTCCTTTGCCGACTACCAATTGGCATGCACTATTCTGTTTAGATACATCCCTGTGATGTTGTTGGTCCTTCTCTACTCTATTATCCTCATCAAGCTCAAGACACAGGCACATCCAGGTGAACAGTCTGCGAAAAGTCAGCAACAAAGGAAAAGACGAAACACAAACGTGCTTCAAATGTCCATTGCTATCGTGTCAGCGTTCGTGTTTTGCTGGTTACCTTATTCTACTAACATTATCATAAGGTACCAAGCCAGTTCCATACATTTTTCCTGTGGTTTTTGGCTATACTATTATGTCACCTACTATATAGTGGTCGGGTACTGTGCGGTCAACCCAGATTATTTGCTTTGTTTTCAGCAGTAATTACCGACAAGGTCTTAAAAGACTCATGAACTGTTCTTAACTGTTATGTTGTATAGGCGTAAGTCGCAAAAATTTGCTCTAGAATGAACATGATAGGAATTGGAGGTTCGTGGAGCACTTTAGCAAATGAAAACTATGTATCCTGTTAGTGCCTGTAAGAAGTTTAGTAAACATCATCTGTCCATTGAATGTAGCTGTCTTGACTTCGAAAATGGGCAGCATGTATGGCTCAAGTTTAAAGTGTTTCTATGGCAAAGGATTCAGAATAAATACTTATACTTATCTGATGTTGATTTCTAGTTCTATTAAGTTTCAGAGCGAATTGGGCGGCGGTGGCATCATCTGACCTCACATACAGTGTAGCAATACTGTCGAAGACACAACACAGAAAATTGGCTTCAATGCATTCGAAAAGGTCGACCACTCTTAGCGGATCCTCTAAAAAACAGCTCGATTTTCTCTTGCAAAACCTTTTGTTTAAAGGCCCGGTCCAGACGCCGAACTTTTCATGAGCCAAACCTAATTCGAATTAAAAGGCCGACACAAATTATTTAGGCCGGCTGAATTCAGACTTGATTCCAAACTCTGGTTTAAAGTGCTTGCAAAATACGTTATGATACTGAATTTATGCTTAAGTTCGGCACATGAAATATTCGGGGCTAACAAGCAGCCATAGGCAAGTTTCTTAAGAATTGAATTTTACCTTCTTCATTAAAAATAAAAGCAAACTCCTGACAATGGGTAGGGGAAAGAGGTTTTTCCCTCTCCTCATCGTCCCCCGCGCGCTTTCCATGATTTTTCGATTATTGCTATTTTTATTAGGATACCCAGCGGGAGCCTCTGCGAAGAAGAGAGGTTCATTCTCTCTTGCAAAAGCTTTAAATTTTGTTTTGAAGGCCCAGTTAAGACGCCGAACTTTTCATGAGCCGGACCTAATTCGAACAACAATTTTATTCTTTGTAGGCACAAGGAGTTAAAAAGGCTTGCCCCGCAAATAGTTGGAAAGCTAGTCGTGCCGGGGCAAGCCAAGTACATGAATAACATATCTACTTAAAACGAAAACAAAACATTAATCTATAATTACAGTCATACAAAATGGTTTTAAGAGAAGTAGGTTGTAGATAGAGGAAGAATTCGTCATGTAAGACCGGTGCACACAAAACACAGCCTAGTGCACACGTTTCGACCCAAATCATTTAGACCGGCTGAATTGATTGTGTCGCCGAACTTACTTCTAGCCGAACAAAATTCAAAAGGCAAAACTCCAGGCTAAACAAATAGATTTAGGTAAAAGGAGCTGGTGAAAGAAGGCTAAGCAATAGATCGTAAGAATGTATTATTTATTTCCAACTTAATTGTGTTCAGCTGGATGATTCCTCGTTTTGATGAATATCCGTTGTAATGCCCGCGCCGGCCTTTTATCGGCACATGATGGCCTTAGCACTTTTTGTAAGTCGTAAAGCTTTGTTATTGCTGCCTGATTATTTGTGGTGGTAAAAAGTTCTTGGTAGTAAGTTATGAGGACACATCTACCAATTTTTCCGGATGCTAAATAAATGGCACGCTATTTCCGAGTATGACAGGCAAACACTCACACTCTTTGTATGAGTAATTTCCGTTTTATATGCCGAGCGTGTACGTACTGACTAGGGTGACTACTAATGGAGGCAAAAACTTCCGCAAACATTTTATCAGTTTTTACATAAAAAGGCTTTACAAACCGTAGTCTAACATTGCCAGTTACCTTCGTCATAAACTTTCAGCAGTAACAAAACAATTAAACAATTTTTTTTTCAGTTTGGGAAGACGCCAAATGAATTTGAATGTGCATTATGCATGATTAAAAAGGCGCAGCTAATTTCTAGATAAGAGTGCACAACGAACAGGGAAAATTCCCATCTTCTAAGCGGCGTCAAATTGACGACTCTTGGCTACAATATTTTGAATCAAAGATTCAGTCGTTTTTAGCTAAAATTTTTAATTAATTTTAAACGTATTGGGAGCTCAACCTTTATTAATAGGACGAGTCACTCCTATTTTTCATGGTCACAAACAGTTAAACAAGCCGAACCGCCAGAGTAAGGCAACAGGTTCTGCGAAGAAAACAATTCTTAAAAATTAAAAACACCCATAGAGATTTTACCTCTACCCCGAGGTTTAACTTAAATTTTGTAGTAATTATATTTTTAAAATTGTAGTTTTTCTTTGGGCACTTGCGTGTTTCATCTACCGTTGCGAATGCGTTCCATATCAGTAATTAACCTGGACAAGGTGTTTAACTAAACTGTGCCTTTTAAACAAAAACCGTTTATCTATTATTGCCCCCAAAAAACGCTTTTTTTCTAATTATTTTGTTGCTTGATAAATTTTGACTACCTGTTGTGTTGTTTCTTCTTTCCTTTGTGGCTCCCAAGCTGATAAATGGCTATGACTATTTTACACGTTTTATTGCAACCGGTTTGTTTTGTCTTCATTAGAAGTAATCTTTATTCCTGTCCACCAGAGAATGTTCAAAGTCAGGGCCCAGTTGTTCGAAAGTCGAACAACTGGTTAGCGCTAACCCAGTGTTAAATTTTAACCTGGGTTTCTTTTTCTTTTGTTTAAAAGCATTTTGCTGGAGAATTTTCTCCCTTCTTTTTAGAGCACCCAATCATCAATTGTAGGCAAAAAGAATACAACTGAATTTGCTTCTCAAGCTTTCATATATGAAATCAAATTTCGCACTGACCCTGGGTTAACTTAACCCTGCTTTGAACAACCCGGCCGAGGCCTACGTCACCTTCGTTCGTCCTTGTCTGGAATACGCCTGAAGCGTATGGGACCCACATACTCAAAAGCATTGCCAAGATATTGAAGGAGTACAACGGCAAGCCGCCAGATTTGTAAAAAAAATAATTGCTAAGAGCGGGAACCCGGTACAGTCACTAATCTCCTGCAGAACCGGCATTCACTAGAACTGAGACGCAAAATTGCACGACCGTACTAGCATGTACAAAATAGTGAACAATATAATTAGGGTCAATATTCCGGAGTACATTGCTGCGCACAATCCCTGGGTTATCTTAGCCCAGAGTTCGAAAAACCCGGCCCTGAACGATTTGAACTGGCATTCACCAGAGCTGAGACACAAAATTGCACGACTTACCACCATGTACAAAATAGCGAACAATATAATTAGGGTCAATATTCCGGAGTACATTGCTGCACGTTCAACCCGTGTTACACGCTCTTGCCATAGCAGCAAGTTAAGAAACATTTTAGTAACAGCAATATGTACCTATAGGTACAATTTTTTTACTAGAACTCTAAAAGAATGGAACACTTCCCTTTTTATTAGATCAGCCCTTCGTGGACGCATTTAAATCTGCTGTTACTAATTATTGAATCTCCCTCATTGACTTTATACATCAGTGATTTTATACATCATTTTATTTTATTATTTATTTATTTATTTATTTATTTATTATATATTATTATTGTCGTTGTTTTTTTTGTTTTGCACATTCACAGTGATAGGAAAAAAATTGAAAAGCGCTCTACCGACTGAGCCAATCCCGCTGCGGTACTTTCCTCACTCTAAAATGTCACTTTTGGGTGTAAGAGTTTCAGGATATCAATTGAGTTGTCCTATTTTACCTGCGCGAAACCGTTACGTTGTATCAAATACTTGTTATCATTTTACAAAAAGCCCAATAAAAGCATCGCCGGTTTAAAATACTTTTATTGTTTTTTATTGACATTTTGTCGCTGGTTAAATTTTCACTGCTCCTTTTCTGATCTCAAAATTGCTTATTTTATAGACGTATAGCCGAAGATTAAATTTGCAATGCCTGTAAATTAAAACCTGTTTGCTCCAGTAGTTTTGAACACGTGTCGTTTCAGTTTGCTCCCTTTCAAGATAGTTATTAATACAATAAAACCTTCCATGGTTTTGCGAAAATCTGTCGAAATGCAGAAAAAGAACGCCTTAAAATACGTACAGATGCCTTTGGGAGCGTTTTTTTTAACTGAACTCAGGATGTGTTTAATGAACTTCCGTGTTTTTAATGAAACAAAACAAGAAAACAACCAGCTCCCTTTCAAGTGAGTTGTTAATACTCTAAGAATCACCTGACCGGAAGAGGAAAGTTGTTTAGGCTTATCAGTAACAACATGAATTCAATACTGATTTTACAAAGTGCGATTAACAACGTCGCGTCAACAGTCCGTGGCGTCATACATAATCAGCTCAGCATGAAAGATGAGCTCTATAATTTATAAGCCTTATAGCAGCTACCTAACTGAATGCCAAGGGGATAATTGCGACATAGAGTCGGACTATTCCAGTCATGCGCTTGAGGTGCTTATCTTGTTTTTCAATCTGACCGTCTGAACACAGAAAGCTAGGAGAGCGAAGAGATTTTATAGTTTACAATATTGTTACTAAGGCTGACTAAAAGAATAACAGACAAATGAACTGTCGGCTATTTGAGTGTCCATGTATTTAGCACGAAAGTATTAATTGAGGACACCATTTGTACGTCTCATACTGGAGATGGGACATACATTTTATGTGGTCATCTGAGCCACGCAAAGGTCTAGATATTTGCAGCAGGGCAAAGACAGTTTCTTCATTTCTCAGTCATATCAAGACCCTGAGTATGGTCCCCCCCGGGAATCAAACCCGCGACCTCACGCTCAAGCTGTCAAAGCGCCTTTCGACTGAGTAGCATAAAGCGCCCCGGAAAGCTTGCTAGAGGGTCTCAATGGCGTGGTAGTTTTGACGGTTGATGGCGAAATTTTTCCAATTTTGACGGTTGACGGTTAAAGTTTAGAGCTTTTGACGGTTGACAGTTATTAAATGCAAATTCAGTTTAAACTTAAAGTAAATATTAACTTCTGTCTGAATTAATATTACTGTTGTGTTTTGGAGGTTGTCTTGGCGTTTTACTCTTGCAATTTGGAAATGCTTTCAGATATAAGCAGGATGTTAGGTCTCGTTATGTGTAGAAACGTGTTTCGAGAACATGGGAACTGGTTTTTTCTGTTTAGAGATTCCGGCTTCAGGAGCAGGAAACGCGTGCATTTTTGACGGTTTACGGTTAATTTTTAGGCTGTTTGACGGTTGACGGTTAATCTCATTGAGACCCTCAGCTCTTGCTAGTAGGCTACGCGGGACTGCGCTAATCCTACCGCGGTTACTTTCTCTCTTGTTGATTGGTCGGTGTCTTGTAACTTAGTAGACTGTTGTTGGATATCACTTGATTTGTTCTATTTCACCTGCTTTAAGCCATTACTCGCACCAAATACTTGTTATCATTATACAAAAAAAGCCCAATAAAAGCATTCGCAGTTTGAAATGCTTTTATAGACATTTTGTCCCTGGTTAAAATTTTGACTTCCCCTTTTTTAATCTCAAAATTGCTTAGCATATTTTAGCCGAAGAATAGAACACGCATCGTTTCAGTTTGCTCCCTTGCAAAACAGTTATTAATACAATAAAACCTTCATGGTTTTCTTCAACCTTTTACAGGGACCAGTTATGCAAAATCTGTCGAAATGCATATAAAGAACGCCTTAAAATAAGTAAGGATGCCTTTGGGAGTGTCCTCTTTAACTGAACTCAGGGTTTTCATTGACTGACTACTGTGTCTTTATTCAACTGCACAAAGAAGGCGAAAAACTGTTGAAAAATAAGCCCTCTCCTTTCTCCCACATTCTGCCTAGCTTAGTATAAATATATTAACATGGGATTTGAGTTTTGCTTCCTTTCGGCGGAGTGTCCTTTATATTTACTGAAACTCAGTAAGTTTTTATTGAACTACAAAAGAAAAAACCAGCTCTCCTTCAAGTGAGTTCTTCACTAAGAATCAGCTTATTGGAAATGGAAAGTTCTTTAGGCTTATTAGTAACAACATGAATTCAATTATGTTAATGATTCAACAAAGTTCGGTTAAGAAATGATCGTCGCGTCAATCAGCTCAGCATGAAAGATAAGCTCTAAAATTTATTGGTTTTTATTGACGTCTGCCGTGTCAAGACTTCGCCGGGAGCATGAAATTTTTAATTAAAGCCGGTTCCTGATCAGGTATAACTGAATGCTGTGTTTGCTTTAAAGAGGCCAGCAAACATGAACTCAACAACAGGGAATGGATCGATCGAGTCTTCAAGCTGCTTTAGTAAAACGGCGTACAAAATCGGACAAACCATTGCTTTGAGTCTGATCATTGCTGTTTCACTGACGGGAAATTCTTTCATTGTGTTGATCGTTTATAAAACGCCAACCTTAAGAAAACCGATAAATTATTTCATCGCAAATATGGCCATGTCCGATCTGCTGTATTCAATATTCTGGCCACCTACGCGCCTATCATTGATACACAGCACAAACTTGTGGCTCATCGGTGGTAAGTTTGGCCAGGCCTTGTGTAAGCTTGTTCTTTTCTTTACTGACGTTTCCAGTATCGTTTCGATTCAGAATCTGGTTTTAATAACAGTGGATCGATTTGTAGCCGTGGTATTTCCACTCCGTTCTCCACTCATCAGATCCAAGCTGTGTCCGTTCTTCATTTTCGGCACGTGGGTAGTCGCAGCGGCTTTCATTTCGCCCTATTTTTACATCTACCAACTCGTTGAATACTCAGGGAAAAGGTGGTGCGCCGTGAGACGGAAGAAAGTATTCGGAGAGTCCTCGTCCCTTGCCGACTACCACTTGGCAGGTTCTATTCTGTTTATGTATATCCCTGTGATGTTGTTGGTCCTTCTTTACTCTATCATCATCATCAAGCTCAAGACACAGTTACACCCCGGTGAACAGTCCGCGAACACTCAGCAACAGAGGAACAGACGAAACAGAAACGTGCTTCAATTGTCCATTGCTATAGTGTTAGTTTTTGTGTTTTGCTGGTCACCTTATGCTACTACCTTTTTAATCATAAAGTATCGAGCCAGTTCCATGCATCAGTTTTCCTGTGGTTTTTGGCAATACTATTATGTCACCTACTTTATGGCAGTCGGGTACTGTGCTATCAACCCGATTATTTGCTTTGTTTTTAGCAGTAATTACCGAGAAGGTCTTAAAAGACTCATGAACTGTTCTTAACTGTTATGTTGTAGAGATGTAAGTCGCAAAAATTTGCTTGTGAATGAATGTTAAGAGTTAAAGGTTCGTGGAACACTTTAGCACTGTTCTTAACTTTCGTACAGGCGAAAGTTGCAAAAATTTGCTTGTTAATGAATAATATATGTTAAGAGTTCGAGGTTCGTGGAACACTTATAACGAATGAAAACTAATGTATCGGCTAGTGTACTATACGGAGGTTATATGTCTGTCCTGACTCGAAAAATGACGGCATGTTTGGCACAAGGGTAACGTAAGTGATTGTATGGCAAAGGGCTTAGAATAAATAAATAAATATACTTATCTGATGCTGATTTCTTTTTCTTCTAATAAGTTTCAGCGCGATTAATTTGAGCGGTTTTACCGGGCGGGGGGTGGGGGGTACTCCTAGAAATTCTTGGTGGGGGTGTGCCGCACAGTTCTCCAAATTGTGACCTTATTTCAGACCAAAACATTTCATTTTTCACATCCATTTTCAGACCTGGCATCTAAGAAATTATGTCATCATTTCTTAGATTTTTCTTAGATTCAACGCCATCAAAAGAGATTTCTTATTTGCATAATTATTTCTCTTTGTTTTCTTATACATTTGAAATTAAAACGATAAATACGTTCATACACTCCCGTAGTTTCCTCAAAACCCATACCCAATTCCAGACCAAAATGCATGGGCTATGTCTATACCCATTTTCAGACCATTACGGCGCAAATACCATACCCTTTGGGGCGGCACATACCTTTATGACTTACAAAAAGGATTATACCCCGGGTGGTGGTGGCATCATCTGATCTCAAATGCAGCCGTCGCAACACTAAGATGGATTGCAGAAAATCGCCAACTAGGCAAGAACTAATGCTCCCAAGTTTATTAAGCGATGTATTTGATTCGAATTCCTTATCTAGCTTTTAAATATTCCCTTTGAAGTTGTTTTAGCTGTAATTTACATTGAATTTGCATTGAGTTGTTTTAGTTCCCTTAAATTATAGCCATTTTACTTCAATGTTTACATTTAAAAGGATAATTTGTTTCTGAATAGATGTACAGCTTAGTCACTGAATAACTAGACCTTTCGCCTGTTCAAATACCAACCGTTCGTAGTTTTTAGTTTTGACATTTTAGGGAATACTGAGCAAAGGAAACTCGAATTCTTTTATACAGCTTTCTTTGTAGGTTTCCTAAATTCACTTGCTTGACTGACATTTAATTTTTAGTAATTTAGTTTAACATATGAACATTAAAACTGAATTTATCGAGATTTGTTTTCGCTCTTCAGCTGATTTTATTCAGCCTTCTTTCCATTTGTTTTGTGATGATGTAATAAGTTGATCGGTTAGTATAAATAGAGCACTGTTATCACTGTTTTTATGATTTACATTGCGGTTTTACATGCTTGTACGATTTACGTTGCGGAGTTATATGCTTGTACGATTTACATTGCGGATTTACTTGCCTGTATGATTTACGTTCACGAACTGAAGATTAAACTGTTGAAGTCCAAGTTTGAGTCCTGCCCTGTTTCCAGTTGTAGCAGATCCTAGTACCTTGGAATAGTGACAAGTTCCTTTTCCGCTAGCCAAGCGAGTTACAGAGTTAGTTTTCCCCCTTGTTGTCCCTACGCCGAAGTCGCTCGAGTTCTCTTAACGCTTATTTCCCCGATTTGTGCTTGGAAGGGCAAAACCTATCGTCACAGCGAAAACCTGATGCATATATACACTTTCCTCGCTAAAATCACAAAGCCATTCCTCAAGATGACACTTGTGTAATCCATTTCAATCAACTTTGCGTTTGAATGTATTCAAATATCGAACACTCTTACATCCTCAAAAACAGCTCATTCTCTCTCGCCTCCACAGAGGCCTCTTTGTATCGTAGGGAGGCTGGAGAAAGGAAAAAAGAAAGCGCGCGGGGGACAATGGGAAGGGACAGGAGAAGAAGCGAGGTTTTTCCCTCTTCCCATCGTCCCCCGCGCCCTTTCTATTATTCGATTATAGCTATTTTTATTGGGATACCCAGCGGGAGCCTCTGCGGAGAAGACAGGTTCATTCTCTCTTGCAAAAGCTTTAAATTTTGTTTTTAAGGCCCAGTTCAGACGCCGAACTTTTCATGAGCCGAACCTTATTCGAATTAAGGCCGACCCAAGCAAAAACAACAACAATTTTATTCTTTGTAGGCACAAGGAGTTGAAAGGCTACCCCGCAAATAGCTGGAAAGCTAGTGGTGCCGGGGCAAGCCAAGTACATGAATAACATATCTACTAAAAACAAAAACAAAACATTAAACTATAATTACAGTCATACTTAATGGTTTTAAGAGAAGTAGGTTGTAGATAAGGGAAGAATTTGTCATGTAAGACCGAAGCACACAAAACACAGCTTAGTGCACACGTCTCGACCCAAATCATTTAGGCCGGCTAAATTGATTGTGACGCCGAACTTAATTCTAGCCGAACAAAATTCAAAAGGCAAAACTCCAGGCTAAACAAATAGATTTAGGTAAAAGGAGCTGGTGAAAAAAGGCTAAGCAATATTAATATTTATTTCAAACTTAACTGTGTTCAGCTGGATGATTCCTATAGTTTCGACGATTACCTGTTCTAATGCCCGCGCCAGCCTTTTATCAGCACATGATGGCCTTAGCATTTTTTGTAAGTCGTAAAGCTTTGTTATTGCGGCGTGATTATTTAAAGTGGTAAAAAGTTCTTGGTAGTAAATTATGAGGACAGTACACATCTGCCAAGTTTTTCGGATGCTAAATAAATGGCACGCTATTTCCGAGTATGACAGGCATACACTCACACTCTTTGTATGACTAATTTCCGTTTTATATGCCGAGCGTGTACGTACCGGCAGACTAGGGTGACTACTAATGGAGGCAAAAACTTCCGCAAACATTTTATCTGTTTTTACATTAAAAGGCTTTACAAGCCGTAGTCTAACATTGCCAGTTACTTTCGTCATAAACTTTCAGCAGTAACAAAACAATTTTTTCAGTTTGGGAAAACGCCAATTTGAATGTGCATTATGCATGATTAAAAAGGAGCCGCTAATTTCTAGAATGCGCAAGGAACTGGGAAAATTGCCATCTTCTAAGCGGCGTCAAACTTACAACTCTTGGCTACAATATTTTGAATCAAAGATTCAGTCGCTTCAGTTCCGCTAAACTTTTTAATTAATTTTAAACGTATTGGAGGCTCAATTTTTATTAAAAGGACGAGTCACTCCTTTTTTTCATGGTAACAAACTGTTAAACAAGCCGAACCGTCAAACGTCAAAGTAAGGCAACAGGTTCTGCGAAGAAAACAATTCTTAAAAATTAAAAACACCGATAGAGATTTTACCTCTACCCCGAGGTTTAACTTAAATTTTGTAGTAATTATATTTTTAAAATTGTAGTTTTCTTTGTGCACTTACGCGTTTCATCTACCGTTGCGAATGCGTTCCATTTCAGTAATTACCCTCGACAAGGTGTTTAACTAAACTGCCTTTTAAACAAAAACAGTTTAACCGTTATTGCCCCAAAGACACGCTTTTTCGTCTAATTATTTTTGTTGCTTGATAAATTTTGACTACCTGTTGTGTTGTTTCTTCTTTCCTTTGTGGCTCCCAAGCTGTCTTACTGCAACCCAAGCTGTTTTATTGCAACCGGTTTGTTTCCTCTTCATTAGAAGTAATCTTTATTCCTGTCCACCAGAGAATGTTAAAAGTCAGGGCTACGTCACCCTCGTTCGTCCTTGTCTGGAATACGCCTGAAGCGTATGGGAACCACATACTCAAAAGCATTGCCAAGATGTTGAAGGAGTACAAAGGCAAGCCGCCAGATCGATTTGTAAAAAAAAAAGTGCTACCAACGGGAACCGGGTACAGTCATTAATCTCCTGTGCCCAGTTGTTCGAACGCCGGTCAGCGCTAACCCAGGGTTAAATTTTAACCCGGGTTTCTTTTTCTTTTTATCAAAAGCACTCTCTCCGGATAATTTTCTCTTTTCTTTTAAGAGTATCAAATCATCAAATTGTAGGCAAAGAGTTAAACTTAATTTGCTTTTTAAGCTCTCATATATCTGAGTTCAAATTTCGCACAAACCCTGGGTTATCTTAACCCAGCTTCGAACAACCCGGCCCGGAACAATTTGAACTGGCATTCACTAGAACTGAGACGCAAAATTGCCCGACCTACTACCATGTACAAAATAGTGAACAATATCGTTAGGGTCAATATTGTGGAGTACATTGCACGCCCAACCCGTGTTACACGCTCTTACAATAACAGCAATTTTAGAAACATTTTAGTAACAGCAATATGTTACCTATAATATTATTTATTATTATTATTGTTGTTTTTTGTTTTGCACATTCACAGTGATAGGAAAAAATAGAAAAGCGCTCTACCGAATGAGCCAATCCTTCTGCGTAACTTTCCTCACTGTAAAATGTCATTTTTGGGTGTAAGAGTTTCAGGATATCAATTGAGTTGTCCTATTTCACCTGCCCGAAACAGTTACGTTGTATCAAATACTTGTTATCATTTTACAAAAAGCCCAATAAAAGCATCGCCAGTTTAAATACTTTTATCGTTTTTTATTGACATTTTGTTGCTGGTTAAAATTTTGACTTCCCCTTTTTTGATATAGCCGAAGATTAAATTTGCAACGCCTGTAAATTAAAAACCTGTTTGCTCCAGTAGTTTTGAACACGTGTCGTGTCAGTTTGCTCCCTTTCAAGACAGTTATTAATACAATAGAACCTTCCATGGTTTTGCTAAAATCTGTCGAAATGCAGAAAAAGAACGCCTTAAAATAAGTAAAGATGCCTTTGGGAGCGTCCTTTTTAACTGAACTCAGGATGTGTTTAATGAACTTCTGTGTCCTTAATTAACCAAAACAAGAAAACAACCAGCTCCCTTTCAAATGAGATAGTAATACACTAAGAATCACCTGACCGGAAGAGGAAAGTTGTTTAGGTGTATCAGTAACAACATGAATTCAA